AATCCCTGTCTATAGGCCCTTGGGAGCTCCCAGTCAGGTGCAGTAGAAAGACTTCAAAGGCTTGTTAAAGCAAGCCAAGGAGGCAAGGACTGACTCCACTGCCACACTAAAGAACATGGAAACTGGCATTTTAGGGATATTATTATCTGAGCTTCCCAGAGATGAGTAAAAGTAAAAAGTATGGTCCAGAACAAGTAGTTCTGGTATTGTTGTTTTGGATTTTGTTTTTGTTTTTAATCTTGCATTTCAGGATAAGTAACTTCAGCTTTAAAACAGAGCCTTCCCTTTTTATTAGACATTTCCTTGGGAACTCGACTCCCCCTCTGGATCTCAGAAGTTCTGTATTTCTAGGAATAACATTGTCTGTGGATTGACTGGTAGAAGATGCTGCTCCTGACTCCTGCTCCCTATCATTGTGGATGAATGGACATAGCTGAGGGGCCCTTTCTGTAGTTGTTTGACTGCAAGGAAATGGAAAGCACATGAGTATCAGAGGGAATCATTCCTTTCTTTTCTATCCTTATGGCTACTATAAAGACATGGCAAACAAGAATCCATCAGCAATATCAAACTCAAAAATGAGCCAGTGACTTAGTAACAACCACTTGATGGTTCACCAAAAGCGCTCAACAAGAGGCAGATTGCTTCTTTGAAAGGGGAGCAGCTGCAGCACATGCTTCCAGGATAGATATGAACATTTAAATACAGCATAGAACACACACACACACACACACATACACACACACACTCACACACACACACACACACACACTCACTCACACACACAAACACATGCTCACACACACACACACACACACAATCTTCACTAATATAGCTGCAAAGGACCCCCATTTGCATCGTACATCATATTGTATTTTTCTATTCAAAATGGCTAGCCTTTTCCAGGGCTTTTATGATTTAATCAATGCCAATTCAAATGGATCTGGTGCTTTATTCATTAGAAAGATGAAATTAAGTCTGCCATGATAAGGCAAGGTTCTCATCAGATTTCTCTGTTTTTGTTGTTTTACAGCTTTCTCCTTGTCTTTGGTTGCTTGATTTTGTCAGTGTTTTCCACCATCCCTGAGCACACAAAATTGGCCTCAAGTTGCCTCTTGATTCTGGTAAGTGAAACATATGAACAAAAATGTACCTAAAGTTTATGTATTATAATAACTGTCTATAATATTTATGCAATGCATTATATCCCACAAAAAGTTTTATCTAGAAAAAAAAGTTACTGAAAGTATGAAAGTTTCAAAGATTGCTGAAACATTTTAACTTTTAGTCAATCTTCAGGAATATATAAAAATATTCAGCATGGCTATTACATAGCAATATCTTGTATTATAGTTACAGTATAAATAGGCGGCCATCCTTGGAAGCAGTTTTAATGATGTTCACCTATGGTAATAAACCAATTATAAGAAGAATCTGTGCCCATGAGGTCTCTCATTATATTGTTAAAAGTTACAGAATAGAGAGCATTTTTCCAATAACCACAATTTGGCAGTAACTAAGTATGATTGGCCAAGAACTATGAGAATATAGCACCTCATAAAAAAATTTTAAAAAACCACACACACAGAAGACTTCTTCATACTCTTTTCAACCAACAGACTGCATTATGAGTTTTGCTGCTAATACAGTTACCTGGTGAGAAATTCGACATTTTGCTGTCAATCCTGAACCACACAGAATTGCTCAATTCATTTATTTTAGGAAAAGGAGCCCAAGGTATTTTATTCTGAATTATTCTGGGCTTTTTAAGAAGCTCTTCCACTTTCTATTACGCTAAACTATAACACTATATACTCAAATCACATTTGATTGAAAGTTTATTTCATTTACATCCATTTTGACCCACTCAGTCCAAAACTATCACACTTGACAGCCTCGGAACTGTCTGAATGAACCCTAAGCTGGAACTCACTTCTGCTGCGAAACCTGGTGAACTACAAAAGGAAGAGAGTGAATGAGGCGGTGGAATAAGATGGCTGTGTGTCCTAATAAAAGGAGATTGGTTGTGTCCAGCAATAAGCCTTTACTATAAGAAAATTATTCTTATCTTCAAGGTGGAAACTGAAAGATGTACCTCATTTAACCTAAATGGCAGGGAGCTGCTCTTCTACCTGTGCTTTCAGATGGTAGTTTGTGCTTGATGTTAACCAAGACTTCATCAAGTCTCAGGCTTACATCAGGGGGAAATCATGTTTTTCCTTTTTTTTATATTGGCTGCAGGTGTACAAAACATAATCATTAGACATTTACACCCCTCGCAAAGTGTAACCCCCCCCCCCAAGTCCATCATCCCTCTGGCATCATATGTAGCTGTTACAGTACCATTGACTATATTCCCTATCTGCACTTCACATCCGTGACTATATATATATAATTATATAGACTATATATATATATATATATATATTTAATTATATAGACTATATATATATATATATTTAATTATAGTTGACATTCAATATTATTTTATATTAGTTGCAGGTGTACAGTGCAATGGTTAGGCATTTGTATAATCTATCAAGTGATCCCCCTGATAAGTTCAGTACCCATCTGACATCCTACACAGTCTTTACAATATTATTGATTATATTCCCCATACTGTATTTCACAAACCCATGACTATTTTGTGACTACTAATTTGTACTTCCTAATCCCTTCACCTTCTCCCCTATCCCCCAACCCCCGTCCCATCTAGCAACCATCACATTGTTCTCTGTATCTATGAGTCTATTTCTGTTTGTTCATTTATTTTGTTCTTTAGAGTTCACATATAAGTGAAATCATATGGTATTTGTCTTTCTCAGTCTGACTTATTTCATTTAGCATAATATCCTCTAGCTCCATCGTGTTGTTGCAAATGGTAAGATTTCATTCTTTTTTATGGCAAAGTGATACTCCATTGTATAAATGTACCACAATTTCTTTATCCAATCATATATTGATGGGCATTTCAGTTGTTTCCATATCTTGGCTATTATAAATAATACTGCAGTAAACATAGGGGTGCATATTTTTTTTTCAAATTAGTGTTTTGGATTTCTTTCAATAAATACTCAGGAGTGGAATTGCTAGGTCATAAGGTAGTTCTATTTTTAACTTTAGGAGGAACCACTATGCTGTTTTCCATAGTGGCTGCACCAATTTGCAATCCCACCAGCAGTGCTCAAGGGTCTCTTTTCTCCACATCCTCGCCAATACTTGTGATTTGTTGATTTATTGATGATAGCCATTCTAACAGGTGGTATCTCATAGTGGTTTTTATTCACATTTCTCTGATGATTAGCAATTCTGAGCACCTTTTCATATGTCTATTGGCCATCTGTACGTCCTCTTTGGAGAAATGTCTATTCATGTCCTCTGCCCATTTTTTAATTGGATTGTTTGGGTTTTTTGTTGTTAAATTATATGAGTTTTTTTAATAAATGTTGGATATTAACCCCTTATCAGATTTATCATTGGCAAATATCTTCTCCCATTCAGTAGGATATCTTTTTGATTTGCTGAGGTTTCCTTTGCTGTGAAAAAACTTTTCAGTTGATGTAGTTCCATTTGTTTATTTTTTCTTTTGTTTCCCTTGCCCAAGGACATAATCAGTAAAAATATTACTAAGACTAATGTGTGAGAGTTTACTTTCTATATTTCCTTCTAGGAGTTTTATAGTTTCAGGTGTTACATTTAAGTCTTTAATCCGTTTTTAATTTTATTTTTGTATATGGCTTAAGAAGGTGGTCTAGTTTCAGTTTTTTTGCATGTATCTGTCCAGGGAGAAATTATTTTTGAGCCTGGAACAAATCTATCCCAATTTATTTCCATAAAAATTGTACTCAGCTGTATATCACTAATGTTAAGGTTAGTATTTCAAAACCCAGAGTAGAAAGCAGGTAGACCAAAGAACACACGGGGGATTTGTTCCATTTAAGAGGTTTCCATTTGGGTCACAAGTGGGCTTTTAGCCTCATGTACCCTTCGAAAACTACAAATGGTCTGAGCCCAAGATCTAAGTCACAGCTGGCTTTAAGGTCCATATACAGAACTACAACTAGGACTTTTAAAGTGAAAAAATAAATCTGTTTTTTAATACTTGGGAACATGAAAAACTGGATCCACTGCATGATCAATGATATATATTATTAATAAATCAAGCATGAGGAATCCCACAACATGTTAGGTTTACCTCCTCCAAACTTCTAAAACATAAATTCACTCATTGCTGATGAGTTTCTAAATGGTCCAAAGAAGCCCAAAGCTGATTAGTATCTTGATTTTTAAAACTTCCTGAACAGTGAACAATTGGTCAGAGTTTACTAACTTAGAGTAAATTTGAGTAGGTAAAAGTATAGATATTGTCACGCACCCCTCTCTTTTTTTTTTGCCAGCTTTATTGAGATATAATTAGCATATAACATTGTGTAAGATTAAGGTGTGTAATGTGATGATTTTCTATATGTATATATTGCTAAATGATTACCACAATATGGTTAGTTAACACTTCATCACCTCACATAGTTACCGTGTGGGGAGCGGTGAGAATTTTTAAGATCCACCCTCTTAGCAACTTTCAAGTATACAATACAGTATTGTTAACTACAAACACCAGGCTGTGCATCAGAGCCTCAGAACTTATTTATTTTATAACTGGAAGCTTCTGCCCTTTGACAACCTTCACCCTTTTCCCCTTGTCCCACCACTAAAATTACCAATCTTCTCCCTGTTCCTGAGTTCATTTTTTGTTGTTTTTTTAAAGACCACATATAATAAATGAGATCATACAGTGTTTGTCTTTCTCTGTCTGACTTATTTCACTTAGCATAATGCCCTCACGTTCCATTCATGTTGTCACATATGGCAAGATATCCTTCTTTTTATGGCTGAATAATATTCCAGAGAGAGAGAGAGAGAGAGAGAGAGAGAGAGAGAGAATCAGTTATTTTATCCATTCATCCATCAATAGACGCTTAGGTTGTTTGCATGTCTTAGCTATTGTGACTAACACTGCAATGACAATGGGAATGTTGATATCTCTTTGAGATTCTGATTTCATTTCCTTTAGATAAATACCCAGAAGTGGGATTGCTGGGTCGTAAAGTAATTCTATTTTTAATTTTTGAGAAACCTTCATACTGGTTTCCATAGTGCCTGCACAAATTTACAAGGTGTGATCAAACAATACAGTGAATGTTTAAATTTTTCAAAATTTTATTATAGTAAAAGACACATTGCAATTAACCTCTCTCAAAATATTGCCCCTCACTTCAAACACTCTTATCCCATCATTCTGGCCACTTTCTGAAGCAATTCTGGAAGTCCTCTTTCGTGAGTGTCTTTAGTTGCGCTGCCCTGGCTGTCTTGATGTCCTGAATCATTTTGACTTTGGGGGAGAGCCAGAAGTCGCATGATGCCAGATCCAATGAATAAGGTAGATGAGGACACACCATAGTGTTTTTATTTGACAGAAATTCCCATCCCAGAAGTGATGTGTGACACGGAGCATGGTCATGATGGAGGATGATTTACACACACTTTGAAACACACACCTACTATAGCTCACACCCAACTACTGCACCGAACAATTTGAAACTTGTCACACCCTGATACTAAGGTCCGATGTTTCCCATATTGAAAATCCCTGCCTTTCTGTTAGATGGCACTAGGCAGCAACATTCACCGAATTTTTTTTTTATCTGATATATTTTTTTTAATTTTAAGATTTTTATTTAAAAATATAGCTGCCATGCATTGTATCAGTTTCAGGTGTACGCCATAAGTGTTCGACATTTATATACCTAAAGAAGTGATCACCATGTTAAGTCCAGCAACCATCTGACACCATACCCNTGCTTCTGTCATCGCCTGTATTTTCCTTTCTTTGAAATCATCACTCAGAATTTAATTTTCTGTATACATCTGTTTAGTATTCTGTATGCCTCAAAATACCCTAAACTCTGAAAGCAAAAAGGAAAAAGATCTTGTTTATTTTTATATCCCCATGGCTCAGCCGAGTATTATATACATCATTAATGTTTGCTGATTGGATAAATGGATGAATGGTTGAGGGAGGGAGGGAAGGAAGGAAGGAAGGAAGGAAGGAAGGAAGGAAGGAAGG